CCCAAATTATACTACACAAGTAAATAATCATTTACCAGCAATCCATTGTTACAGTAATTTCTAAAATTGTCTTCATTACTATTTGCTAATTCATCTAAATCATTTCCTGCACAGAAATTTCCCCCTGTGCCATACAAAACTGCAGCTCTCGATTTATTATCATTCTCAAAATTTGTTATTGCTTCAGTCAATAACGCAGCAGTGCTTCTATCAATACAATTACGCTTTTGTGGTCTATTAATTCCTATAACTGTTATATAATCCATATGATCAATGATTATACCTATTAATGAAACAATAAAAAAAAAAACATAAAACTGATAATCACATATAAGTTACTATTATCTTACTCTTTTCCGAAGAACTGTACAAGCAGACATGAAATTGTCTCAAGTTACTTAAATTAAATATATTGCAAAGTTTCTTTATCGAATGCATATTTTAGGATTATTTAATTACAGAAAAGCTAGGTTATATTTAAAGAAAAAGAAAGGTTAATACCGGCTCTTCTTTTTCTAAGTGGCCTTTAAAATTCAAACGCATACAGCCAACTAACTTAATTTAGAAAGGATACGTTCAAAACGTAGTCACTTTTATTAAAAATTAAAAACATGATACAACAAATATTTGCTACTACATCGTTAGCTAATTCTACACTGAATCTACACAAAAAAAACACTGAGACTTCTTAATATCTTTTATTCATCATAAGAATTGAGATTACAAATATAAACGTATTAATCTATAAAAATATATTTAAAATTTCCATAAGAATCATAGTTAAATAATGGTAAATTACTTAGAAAAATGATATTTTATTTTTAAACTTAACTACGTATTACTATGATTATTTAGTTTGCGTTCGAATAATAACAAGCAGTCTTTTTCTGTATTAAATTTCCAGAACTTGTTAGCTTGACCGTGGGCTATTGTATATTTGCCTGTTGTAACAAATTTTCTTTTTCTAGCGTTTTCAAATGTGTATATAATTTTAAAGATACCTAAAATTAAAACAGTTTTAAACGTAGAAAAAGATTGAATTTTTATATTACAAAAGCATCAGTTGCAGCATAAGCTTTCTGTTCTTTGTTTAACGGCACAATATTCCATTTACTGCATCGAATTTTTTTATTCTTGTTTAATCGCATTTCAAACTGCAAAAAACGCATGATTATATACTTACAGCATACCCTAATAAAAGTAGTTGAAAAGAATGAAGTGAAATCAGAAGGAAAGTGAAAGATTATTTGTAAAGTATTTGCTCTCAAATGTGAAGCAATGATCTAAATCAGTGATCTACAAACCATGGTTCGCGAGCAACATGTAGAATGAAAATAAAATAAAGTTCGAATGACAAAGATAGATGATGCTTATGAAGCGAGAAATGGCAATAAAAGTACATTAGTCTTACTAAATAATCTACAAGTCTTTCCATACTCCACCGCTGAGTCACAGGCAAAATATTATTGGCTTGAACACCAGAATCAATACAATTATTTATAAAAGATTCCACATCTAATCCAGGAAAGTCCCTAGCAAGTTTTCTTATATCACTAGAAAAGGACAATCACATAAAAAATATATATAATAAATAAATAATCTACCTTACTTTTTAATGTTAACACCAACAAGTCTAACGTTTTTGCAAGATAATAAACAATTTAAAGATTTAGGAAGAGTTTTGAAGTTTATTACATGCAAAAGATAAACTTTTTCAAAATCTACACATAATTGAATAAGAGCAGTTTTTTCAGATCCAGCCTGAAAAGTAAACCTCCATTCTAAATCAAAACCTATTGGAAATAAATCCGGTTTACTATTAGCTTCTTCTCTGCAAAAATATTTGGCTGTTTAAAACTGTAAAAAACACTTGTCATTGTTTTCTGTTACAGTAATTTATCGCATACAGCTGCACAGTCAATAAAAGTTATACAATATTCAACTTTTCCATTAAAAAATATAGTTGGTTTCTCTTTCTGTTTGGTTTCTTCAAGTAACTTTTTCTTCAACTGAAACAAATGTAATGAACATATATACTTTCGTTTTGTTCGTATTTCTATAATGTTTTACTTCAGCTTCCGCTTTTGCTCGAAGTCTTTTTGTTGCCATTATTATAAATAACACATAAACGTTACTATTACATCACTTTTACATAAAATAAAGGAAAATATAAACAATAAACTAATAACTACATGTAATAACCTCAAACCATAATTCGCGCCTTTTTGTTGTAAGGTTGTAAAATCCTCAGGTCATAGATATCTAAAGTACACCTCATAGATAATAGATATACAAAGGGTACACCTTATTTATGGAATGACACTAACCTAGTTAAAATAGCAAAGTTCGTGATTATTTGCATGTTTATGACAGTACTATAATAATATGCTTTTTTTATAAAATTCTTGTTTGTAATTTAATACTGTGTACAAAATAGTGATGAAGATGAATAAGCAACTGCGAAGTACTTCTACAGATGTATTACAAAAAGTTATGAAAAGTTCAACTGCACAACTTCTTATGGGAGCAGTTGCCGGGTGGTAAGCAAGTTTTTTATTTTAGTCTTCACGATCAAATCGTTATGTTATTCATTGTATTTATTAAGGACATTGGATTTAAGAAAAGAGCGAACCCAAAATGTCACTCAAAATTGAATTTGTTTTACATTAATATATTTACATAGTCTGATTTAAACCTGATACTTTGTTAACTATATGAACAACACCAATCAAATTAAAACGACTATATTTCTTATAGTACCACAGGACAAATAGCAGTGAAAGTTGGCAGACCAATAGCTTTGGGAGCCGGTGTAGGTGTACTGGCTATCCAAATAGCTAGTTACAATGGACTTATAAAAGATGATCTTTTAAAATCAACTACAGATAAGACAAAAGTTTTACAGACTCAGTACCTACAAAAAGTTCCTGCTGTTTTGATTAATGTATGTTTTTTATTTTATTTTAAAGTGATATAAGAACTACTTAGGTTCGTGGTCAGTAATTTAACAATTGCGATTTCCATTAAATGTAGTTTCATATTTGTGCTTGCATAACTGATCTTCATTATAAATTACAGTGTTCCCTACTTAAACAATTATTTAATAGTTACAGGAAGGATAATGTATTCACCATACTTAGTGTGTAAAAGTCTTTAAAAGTAATCTAAAAACAATAAGTTTTAACATTATAGCCTATATTTTTTTAGGTGAGGCAGTTTGCAAGACACAATAAACCCTTTGCATTTGGATTTTTAGGTGGGCTTCTTATTGGAATTTCAACATAAGGGAAATATGTAATTTTACACAGATCTTATTTAAATATCTAGTCATTGATGTACTCATCTTTATTTATTTGCTGTCAATTTTAAATCAACGTGCAAATTTTAAAAATATAATTATCAGTCCACCGGATCAGTTTTTGTAATTATTGTTTAAAAAAGAACATTCAGTAATATCTTGGCATAAAGTTCTTTTGAGGCTAATAAAAATTAATAATAACACTTATCATATATTAATTGTTTATTGCCCGAATCACATATTTACAAATGCTCAAAATAGTTCTAAAAAATAATGAAAAAGACCAGAAGAGAATTGACTAGAATCACAGGCAATCAGACTGAAAGAAGTCTGAAATGGACAATTATATTTGCTATACAATATCGTATTATTGAACAAAATATTTAAAAAATTTAAGGTAACTACGTTATACATGCGAAATTATTAAATGCATATTTTGAAAGAACTTTGATACAATTTTCTTACTAACAACATGCGTCTTTAAGAACTAACCAACTGTGCGATAAATAATTACTATTTTTCTGTGGTTATTTTTCTTTCAAACTATCAAATAACATTGTGCCTTAATAACATGCAAATAACTACATAATTGTAAAAAAATTCCGTTTTTTTTTGTTACAGGCAGGCGGTTTAATTTTATTAATATGTATATATATTATACGTCTTTTTGGAGAAAAGAAGGGGGAGGGGTTGTGTCCTTTATCCATTTTACGAATTCTTTTATTGTTAATATGAAACAACTTTTAATCAATAATTCCCTTCCAGTTTATAGTAATTTAGTCATATTTTAAAAACTCTCTCCCATAAGTAAAACAGTCAATGCTGACCATCCAGTAAATGGTCTACAACCACTTCCTTGTCCAGTCTTATCGCTGTACTGTTCCCATACGTATCCGGTTCCGTAATACTGTTTAATAACGTTATTTATTATATTTTTACGTAATTCTGCGTAAATTTTCTTTGCTTCATTTTGAAACGCACCCTCTTTCTTAGCATAAAAGTTCAGGGCCCTTACTGCCAAAAAATTCACATTAATCCACACCTGGCCTCTCCAATAAGGCGGGTCATGTTCTGTGTTACGTTTCATATACAATGGGGCATTTTTTGCCAATGAGCGTAAACCGTAATTCGACCACAACAGTCCTGGATCTCTTAAATCGTTCATTGTTTTGTTCAGTTTTGGGGAGTTCGGATCGAGTAATTGAAGCAAAAACGGAAACAAACTTACATAACCAAAAGTCGAATCAACTAAGCGATACTCGGGGTTTTTCGTTACTATTCGAATGAGTTCCATGTTTTGAGGAGTTTGGGAACGTGGAGTTGGTTTAGGACGTTTCAAGGCCACTGCATCGGTGTGCAAACCATAATCTGCGTAAATTTGAGCGTAATCAGACCAGTGCAATCGATCTAGTAAATCGTTATCACTCAAATATTCAGCTGTTTGTTCGTATTTAAAGCCGTCGCGTTCAAGTATATATGCCAGTCGGGCCATGCAATCGGCCGCAATGGCTATCCAACTGCGAAGATCTACATGACGTTCGTGTTCAGTAGGATGCGAAGCGCGTGGATAATCGTCGAGACCGGAAGCAAGTGTTTTCGGATTCAATTCACGCTTCGTATCTGGATCGCGGCCTCGCCACCGGTACGTCCCTGGCTCTAAACCGCGTTGTGTTGTGTTAAACCACGAAAACCAAGCCTAAAGGAATTAAAAAAATACAATGCATTAAAATTTCTAAAAAGGGGACATTAATTTTTCCATACTGTATCCATCAATTTTAATTTAAAACTTCCATTCTGTGCGGTAAAGTAAAACATTACATACATTATCTTGTTATTTGTATGCACACTTTGAGACTAGATTTTCTTTATAAATTCAGGCTGAGTATGAAAATGATGTACTTATATGATTTCATGTTTTGAACTTTTGTTAATGTGATTTTATCATCAGGAAGTTGTTTAAAATTTTTAAACGTTTTAAATTCACTTTTCTTAAAATATTTAAATCTTTAAAAGCTCATGACAATTGTAATTTTGTTTATTTTGGGTCAAAAAGGAAATTGTTTTGCATACAACCCATACTACTTATACACAATAAGACCCGTTCTTACATAATAGATCCTATAGAAAGTTTTTACTTCAACAAACATTTGTTTTGTAAGTTAATAATCTGCCGAAATTAATTTGAAACTACGATAAAAACAGAAATATTCTTTTACCTGTAATCTTGGATATAATCTTTCTAATATTTTCAAACGAGTTTCAGTGAGTTGGTCTTCGTATTTATTCAAAATATGATGAAGTGTAAGGAAAAATGTCGGCGGATTGGCGTTTGTGTTCCGTTGGGTAACAAACTCTTCTGGTACTTTTGCTAAAGCTTCAACTCCTATTTATAAAAGTTAAATTTATAAAATAATATGATTTAAAAAAAACAAATGAAACTACCTAATATTTGTTCCCTGGGTATCCAGCCTTCTACATTCATTAAATCGAACCAGTGACATATTATGTCCAGTTCTATATCTAAATCCCAAGTTGCAATAAGTAATCCATGGAATCCTTCATCCCAAAGGAAACCTCTTGGGAAAAAGCTCCTGCAAAAAAATAATCTTTTACCTTCCTTTTTTGTACAAATAAATAATTGCTTACCTTGATGGTACAGCAGTATAAAGAGGAGCTCTCCAATATGGCACAGGTTCTCTTGTGTAAGTGCTTTTAACTCTAGAACTACCATAAAAGTACCCAATGCCTCCAATCATGTTGCTTAAAGCAGCCTGGGCAAAATTAATTTCCTTTGGACCATATCTTAAAAAAAAAAGGAAAAGTAAATATTAATTCTTTTTTCAAGAAAAAAAAATTAATAACCCTTTTTCTTTCAAATGAAAGGTGTCGTCAAATCTTTGAGCAAAACGCGATGTATGCCAACGTAGCATGTCCGTGTATGTATCACCCACCAAGGTATTCTGCCTGGTACCAAAACTCCCTGACTCAAATACCACATCAAGAGCAAACGGAACTTTGGCAGTTATTTGAGTTGCAATGAAATTTGGCTGTGGCTGAAACAAGAAAATCGTTATATTAAAAATTGTAGAGGTTTTACTATAACAGTGGAACAAAAAACGATATGCATATTCGTATGCCTTAAAATAAAAATAGTTTACAAGTCACAAAAGAAACAATTTGAACTCTACCTTTACTCCTCCAGCAGAAGAAAGTAATTCTCCTGCCAAAACAACCTTTTTAGGTGAGTTAGGGTTCTCTTGTGCTAACCGAAGAGAAGAAATCACAGTTTCTTTAAGCAAGTGCAGTCCAGGTGCTACAGTGCTTAAATAAGATTCATGTTCAACAGCACCTTAGAATAGAAACGACAAAAACTATATATTAAAACATCAAAATAAGTTACCTTCTTTGTAAATACATAATAATTACACCTAATATTAACCCTAAATATGAAACTGTTTCAGCTCAATATAATAACAATAAGTTCAATTTTATGTATTGTGCATATACCTCTGCATTCCATACAAACACTATTTCATGATTTGATATTAATAAGTATCCATCGTATACCCTTATTTTAAAAATGGTATTTCAAATCAGTACGGTACATACTGACAACTTTATATTAAGTACCTGTGTAAATTTCATATTATTTTGCTCATAAAAATCAGTAGTACTTTTTACAAAAAAAAAAATAATAAACATATTACATAATACAAAAGTTAATGTTTGCTGAAATTGTTAGAAAACTTACCTGTATAATTAAACATTTTTATTGAAAATTCACCCAGGCTCACAGTTTCTCCTTTAACTCCTGTTAATCTGCTACCACTGTTACTTGGAGTAATACTGCCTTTAGTGTTTTCATCTAAAGCAGTATACCACAGTAAAGAAACTTCTTCCCCTTTGAACTGTTCTTCCCCTGACTAAATTGTATAAACACATTTTTAGTAAATATTAGAAGGTACATCATGGTAAAGTATTGGTTGCTATAAGCTAAACTGTATTGACCTTTACATCAACTGAAATTCTAGCAGTCCAATCACCTCCATGTGATCCCCCAAGACTTTTAATAAAAGACGTTGTTAAAACAAATGGTCCATCCACAATTTCTTGCATACCAAAACTGGTGCCATCATGTTGTAACCAACCATATTTTTCTAAATTGTCTCCTTGTTCACACCAATGTCTGAAATTTTGCATTTTTAAAAGTAATATTTTAGATTCCTTTTTTAAAATACCTAATTCCATCACCACCAGGCCTTAACCGTTTAGGAAAATACCACATCAGTCCTGTGACAAGTGAATATGGATCTCTAGTTTTTAAACCGAAGTATACACCTGGTCTATAGGATCCCCAAAATCTTTCTGGTATATCTAAACCACTCCTTACTACCATCTAGGATAAAACCATAAAGATTTTAGTGAATAAGCAAATTGCATAGTAGTTATGATAGTTACAATACCTTTCTATCGTCAAATGGTGTATTTACTCTGGTTTCTAAGTAGCCTCTGTAACCTACTCCTACAGCTATTGATAGGCAAATAAAACCTATGAGGTGTTTCCAAAATGCTAAAATATTCACCTTGTTACTTTCTTTCGGTGAAACACTACTACTACTGCTACTGCTATTAGGACTTTTATCAGATTTGTTAACAGATGGACCATTAATTTGACCTCTTCGTTGACGAGCCATAATTGTTAATTATTTTCAATTTATTTAAAATTAAGTAAGCATAAGCAAATTTTCATTTAAAACTTATTTTTAATTAAATTACCACAACACTTCAAAAATGGTGAACTTGAAGTACTTTATAGGTTATAATCATTAAAAAAATTACATCTATAAGGTAAGATGGTCTTGACACCCATACAATTTAATCCCTACAGAGAGCATACGGTTAGCATACAAAAATAAATAACAATTCTTATAATGAACTAACATCCATTGACAAATATTAAAAATCTGAATAAATACAATCCTATATACAAAAAAATCACCCCAAAATTGAATTTGGTCCTTAAAATTTTAATAACATCTACAAGGGTATATAATATATCCCCTTAATGAGAATTTATGTATACATGTTAGTAAATCAGAAATAACAAGCATGTTAAAAAGAAATAAGTTGGAAGTTTACATTTTTTGGAACTAATTTAATACTCCTTCGTAAGTGAAAAGCCTTCTTAAAGCTTCAACTCACTATAATAACATCATAACAAAATCGCAAATGATTTTAATTACTAATACAACAAAAATTTATTTTTTCTGCTTTTACACTCTACATAATATGTTGCAACCTGATTATAAATTTAAATGGCTATCTGCTTTATGAATCTACACTGTTCTCTAATGTAGATTTAGGATCACATCCAAATACAGCGCGATAAGGTGATCTTCCTATGATTCTGTGATATGATGTATTCTTCTGGTATTGTACAAAATAGCATCCAATAGACCAACTTGTAGAATCATTAGCAACCATCCATATGCGGAGCATATTCTCTACATCTTGGTTATTGCGTTCCATGCAACTCTGGGTCTCTGGGTGTCGGGGGCTTGCATGTATAGTTTTGCAATCTGGCCACATTTTCATGATCTTTTCCAGAATTTCAACAGTAAACTCCCCACCACTGTCACTTTGCAAAACAGTTGGTGCACCAAAAGTTAAAAAAATTTTCACTAATTCTGAAGCAACTTCAGATGCCTCTTTACTTCGGAGTGGCCGAAGCTGAAGAAATTTGGTGGTGTGATCTTGGTAACTTAATAACCACTTGTATTCCCCGTCTGGCGCTGTCTGAAAATCTATTAAATCAACTTGACCACGAACGTTAAAACCTGTTAAACTTGTAAGCTTCATAAATGCATTTTTCCTTGGTATGTGGGTTTTCCTTTTGCAGATTGAGCATAAGGCAACGAATATTTCAACGGCTTTTTTTTGTATGTAGAGTCCTCTATTTTTTATACTGTACAGCATTTTATCACGACCTCCGTGCCCACTTTCTTTATGAATTTCTAATAAAAAGTCATAGTACTTCTCTATAGGTATCACACGAACAGTGGGGTCATCAGGAGTACTTTTTTTTAAAATCAGATAATCTTCATCGTCAATACTAATTAAATCGCATCTTTTGCCCCAGTAATATTGCGGAGGTGTCCGTCGAATACCCAATTCGATGGCAGTCTTGGCAGTTTTAAGATGTGATATAACCTCTACAACCCGTGCAATTGTCCATGGCTTTTGGCGTCCACCTTGAGAGTCATAGAAATCTTTTAGTTGTTGATCAAATTTTTCTTTCAATTCGCTGTCTTCACATGTATTTTCTGCATTTGCACTTGTAAAACAGTTGTCATATTCAGTTTGCATTGGCACTGACACAAATTCAGTCTTCAACGCCATTGTTGTTGTTATTTTGATTTTATCTGCAGAGCCACTAACCGCTAGCGGTAAAATTAGGAAGTAAAAGTAATAAAACTCATAGAACGCCGTGCTGGACTTCCCCTATTTAGCGTTACGTAATATGTGGAAAGCCCCTTACATAATTATGTAGAATGAATCAGACCACTTATTCTACNTTTTGATTACATTACATTTACTCAATCATATTCAGATTTGTAAATTTATAAACTAAGCAACCTGTATTAATATTTTTCCCAAACAAAAAAAAAACAAAATAATTGGAATGATTAGAGTTTAGCCAAACCGATAACCCCACAAGCTAATCTAGCTCCGGCATTACCTGTTGTTTTACTTAATTCATGCCCACCTACTCCTAAGTCGTCAGGGTCGGCATGAACAACCAAAGTACGACCAATAATATTATGTTCGCCAGAAAGTGATATTAATTTGTCAGTTATATTTACTTTTGCGCTACCCATGTCGCCGGCTTCTACGTTTCCAAGATCGCCAACGTGTCTCACGTCTGCATCAGGAGCTCCATGATCTTTGTTATGCGGATTGAAATGAGCACCGGCTGAAATACAGCCGTTGGTGTTGTCACCAAATTCGTGCACATGAAATCCGTGGAGTCCTTTCGTCAACCCGGTAATTTCACCGGTCACCTTTACGGGTGCTTTGGAGTCCTAAGTAAGTTTACACAATACGATAAAAATAAACTTAAACAAAATACTATAAAGTTTACCGCTTGTTCGAAGAAGACTGTCCCTTTGACAACTTCGCCATTTAGAACGCAAACCGCTTTCGCTACCATTTTTCCTTAGGATAATGAGGATTTAGTAATGGAAATAAAAACCTAAGCTTATATTTACTCTTGAAGATGACCAAGCAGTTTGCTTATTAAACTGAATCAAATTTTTAATTATTCTAGAAAAATAAAAACAGTAGTAGGGATTTATGCACACTGCACGACAGTAAATAATGGTAAATAATCACCTTGGCCCTTGGCCCAGTACTTATTATTATTCTATTATCACTCATAGAGACATGAGTTAACATATTAGAAATTAAGATGGTACATGTATCTTATATAATTATTTCATATGCTCTATTCCCAAAAATATTATTGCGTAATTTTCAAAAAATTCATCAAATAGAACTGTTTAATAAAATTCGTCCTATAATTCTTCTACAGGAGCTAGGACCGGGACGAGAAACACAATCGACCATTTTTCTATGCAACGTGTAGTTTAATCTATGATAAGTTTTAAGTTAAGTTAGTCTATCTATGTTTATCCGTAATGAATAAAATATTGTCTATGGTCTGTATCAATTAAGTATCAATATGCTATCAATTCTAACCAACTAGGCATGAAATAAACAGTTACATATTTTTTGAAAATTTCGTAAAAAAGAATCATACGAAATGTACAATACCGTTTTTTTAACATTATTAACCTTTAACGTTGTCTATTCGGTAGGTTGTAAAGTTTTTTTAATTATGTACATATTGTTTGAAAACTTAAAATTTATTTTATTAGAGTAATTTAGAATATGATGGATGGGCAACATTAACCCTTCAACATGCTTTAGAAGATGTTGCGAATCCTGTTTATACAGATAGGGGAAATATATCCATTCTAAGCCTTAGAACTGGCTCTCATAATATTAATCAGGAACCATTAAGCCCTTCAGACATAACAAAAATTAAGGTAAACAATGAAAATAGTTAAGTTACCATAATTAATTCAAAGTAACAGAACTAAATTATGTTTTAATTAGGAACTATCAGCAAGTAATAAATTCTATCAATTAAAGTCCACTGTACTGGCAGCTGATGGAACAGTTACAATCTTTTATTCCTCTGTGAAAGCAGTAAGTAAATGGAAAATTATGTGAACTTGGCATTTTAATAGTACTTTTAGTGCATGTTAGCTGAGTCAGAGCTCAATGACATTTTGTCAGTCTCTTTGGATTATGTAGGACGAATTATTGCTGTTACTTTAGCAGTAGCTTCTACTACAACATGTGAAGGGGCAGTTGTTCCGAGCAGCAATTTAAAAGAATTTAGAACAACTGTTTTTGTGAGATACACTGATATTGGCCCAAGGTAATTTTTTGTTGATTTTAAATCTTGTCCACAAATGACAATTTCTCACCTAACAAATATTTATTTGATTGTTTTTTATATGTACCGGTTATAATTGTTTACCTTTGTGAAGTAATTTTTCCCTATATTCATTAACATTTAAGCAATATTAATTTTTAATAATTATTATTTTAGCCCTGATACTGCTTCTTATATTCAAAAATTAGAAAGAGAAAGAGAAGCAAAGGAAAAAGGTGAACTTAAGGACAACAGGTCATTTTTGGCAAAATATGTAAGTTTATTTTGCTTTTCTTTTTTGGGTTTATGAATTCGAGAAATAAGATTTTATTTTTTATTGTAGTGGATGTACATCCTTCCTGTAGTTATTATAATGGTTTTATCGTCTGCCACAAATCCAGATGCTGCAGCTGGAGGAGGTGGGAATGGTGGAGGTCGTTAAATGTTTATAAAAAACAAGTTAGTTTCTTTTTGTTTTAATTTTTATTAATATTTATGAAATCCAAAGAAATTCTATTTCCATTTATCAAAACCTGCTCCCAATAATATAATAATAACGACAACGTAAATACAGAGAGAGGGTATTTATTTTTGAGTTTCAAGCCATTCCAAAATTAATGGGGTAAAATATGTTATTATCACATCTGCTCCTATAAAAAAATTAATGTTTTTGGGTCTATCATAAAACAATTAAAAATTATTAATCGTAAAACTTTTACCTTTGACAATTACCACTTTCGGCGAAATTAATATTTGCATAATATACACGAATTCTATGTTAACTTTGATTTCAAATGTTAGATACTTTTCACATTTAACACTACACTTAAAATGAAGGTTTTGAACAAAAACATAGCATTTCTGTATGCATTCAATTTACTATTAAGAGAATTCTTGACCAAAAAATGCGAAAAAAGTAAATGTCAATTTAAGAATACGATATCACTGACGAATTGTAAAATTACTCTGTGATTTTCGAAACGTGGGAAGTTTAATGCAAAAAATTGTTTTGATTGACTGCCATAAACAGGGGTATAAAATGTTTTGTATATAAGTAGGTAAATAAAAATTACCTGCACGGCGCATAGATATCAGTATCTCATTTAAACTGTTTTGTAAATCAAAGGCTCCAGCCTTGGCAGCATGATAAATCATGGCATATTCTCCAGAAACTTGATACACAAATAACGGATATTCGGGATGTGCGTCCTTCACTTGTCTTAAAATGTCTAAATAAGCTAACCCAGGTTTGACCATTAACATATCTGCCCCTTCCTCCACGTCTCTATCCTGTGAAAAATATTGCACTTAATTAGTTTGATAGTAACATTTAAAAAGAGCGTACAGCAGCTCTAACTGCCAATCCAGAGCTTCCTGCAGGTAATTGGTAGCATTTTCTGTCCCCAAACGAAGGAGCAGATTTTGCAGCGTCCCGAAAAGGACCGTAAAATACAGATGCAAATTTAGCAGCGTATGATAAGACTGCCACTTTATTTTCTAATTTATTTTTAATAAGTATGTCTTTGATTGCTGCTATTCTACCATCCATCATATCTGAAGGAGCCACAATGTGAGCACCTACAAATTTATATTTTTTAATAAGCTTAAATTTAAGGACAGAACTAAATATAAAAAACCTAATTCATGTATAACATTTAAAATACCTCACTTAATAGTAAATTTCAGTAGATGGCGATAAATTTAAGAAATACATACAGAAATCACATTCAGTATATATCATTTTGTTTTATAATTTGCAATATATTTTCTTTTTAATTATTAATACCTGCTTGTGCATAAGAAAGTGCAACTTCAGCTATTCGTTTTAAGCTTGCAGAATTATCAATAGATCCATCACTATTAAGGATCCCACAATGTCCATGCAGTGTGTAAGCACAAAGGCAAACATCACAAGCTATTGTTAAATTAGGAAACCAAGATTTAATCTTTGGTATTGCTTTTATAACTGGATTATCTTTGCTATTTGCATTAGTAGCTACTTCATCCTTTAATAAAATATACATACAAGTTAAACAAGCTATTTGTCTTTAAAATAGCGTTTTATTTAAATTAGCAATTCTAAATATCTACTACCTACACCAAGTAATGTATTGATACTTATACATTTCTTTTATACTAAGCAATTTTACCTTTGTTAAGGTTTCCGTTACACCAAAAAGTAACACTGACTTTAAACCCCATTTAACAGGCAAATCAAGGTGTTTCTTTAAATGATTTATCCCGTATCTTGAAATACCGGGCATACTCGGGATCTCTTGTATTTCATCGTCATTTTCTCTGAAAATAAAACTATTTTTAAGGGCTTAAAATATGACATAACCTACATACATTATAAATAAGGGGTACATAAGATTTTTACAAGTCACTTCCGCATTCAAACTATTCCAGTCACGTAAAGTTTGATTAAAAATGCCACCGTGAAGGCGATGCTTCTTACAAATTGTATCACACATTTTAACAATATTCAATTCGCTTATTGAAACGTATTTGCAGTTTGTTTATAATTTAACTTATAAACTACAATGTGGAAACTGAACCGTTGTTACCAGTTGTTACCCAAAAACTATTAATAAGATGCTGTTAAGGTAAATGTAGCGTTAAAAAAATATTTTTAGATTTTTCAATTAATAATTGGTTATAAAGATAAGATGTGATATAGGTACATTACATTAATTCATACGTAAATTGCTCTCGAAATCTACAAAAAAATGTAATCTTTGATGTACTTACTTTTGATTTGTTTTATTGTATTTATATTTATTATTAGGAAATTCAATTTAGCTTTTTTCATAGGCTTTTTTTATAAAGCATATACTATTGTCATCGTCCTATATATGTAGCACTGGAGAATGATATATATATAGATAATAGATATATATAGGGTGATAATATACAACATTTCAGAGGTATAGATAGTTTAGAATCTCATGAACCTTAGCCTTGAGTTTCCAGTGATAGGAACCCCATTATTTATTTTTCTCTTATTAAAACATTGACTCTTACCACTTTTTATAGTTTATCTGAAGCTTCATCCCTGGGCGTATAGCGGGCACATCATCATTCCTAATTTATTTAAAATTATTACACTAATTTGATATGTGGTGCAAGTGAACCAGTTATACTGGGACTTGCTCTTCTTCGTCTTTAACGGTTCCCTCAACTTTTCACTTTTACTTAAAAAATAAATATCAAAGACAAATCATACTAAGAAGTTGAAAACAATACAATTATGTTTGTAAAATTTTATTGTCAACACATGATAAATAATATACTGTTTCCAAAATGCCAAAATATTCACCTTGTTACTTTCTTTCGGTGAAACACTACTACTACTGCTACTGCTATTAGGACTAAAATATTTAAATCTTTAAAAGCTCATGACAATTGTAATTTTGTTTATTTTGGGTCAAAAAGGAAATTGTTTTGCATACAACCCATACTACTTAAGTAAGCATAAGCAAATTTTCATTTAAAACTTATTTTTAATTAAATTACCACAACACTTCAAAAATGGTGAACTTGAAGTACTTTATAGGTTATAATCATAGTTGTTAAATAAGATCCACAGAATATTATATAATATATCCAAGAATGCAAAATAAAAAGAATATCTATGATAAAAAAGAAAGTGCACGTAAAGTGTAATATTTGAACAATATATTTCAATCTAATATTTCTAGTAGTGTTTACACTCTACGTTTTTCAAATGTTACTTAGGGGTAAGTTTCTTTTATTTAGTTTAAGCAAGACTCCTAGATATCCGGTGATATATGCTCTATGACTTCAATTTTCTTTTTACTTTATTACTTTGCTAACAAATTTTGAATTTGTAAATGAAATTATTAAAATAAAGTAGGTACATAAATAATAAACATGGAAAACGTTAAAATACCATAAACATATTTCATTTAATTTTTTTTACATGAATCATTACTTAACATTTAACAGTTTTGTACATTTAAAACAAATCAAGTAAGGGCATATCAGAATCATCAAAAGCTACATATTCTGTTTGATTTTCTACATTTGATGTTACATTACAATTACTCAAATCTAGTTCTTTGAGTATTTCATCATAAACTGCTGATAATTCATCTGACCGAGCTGCATCACTATTTGCGTGCAAGCTGTCATTACATATAGTATCTAACCACTCCATATTATCAGTTGTATCCCTTTCAGTCTCTTTAAAATCTGAGGCTTGGTTCTTTTGATTAAGAATATTATCTAAATCTCTAGCCACAAATATCCAGTTGTGTCCCTCAGGATAAGAACAAGTTTTTATTTCACATAGATACACTGCTGTATTTAAATCAATTTGACGAAGAACCAAATTTGAACTACATGTCGGGCATTTCTGTAAAAGAAGTTTATTTACAATTTTGTTTTTTTTTTTTGGATTTTATAACTAACCATTTTTGCATGTGTTCACCTTTGTATGTAAAATTGTCATTACTGATAAACTTTTACTCCTGAAATGTTTTTTAGCGAATAAAGTACAAAATTCAATGATGTAAATTAAAGATTATTCTAAAACAGTTTTATGCACTTACTATTCGCTATTTCTTCACTACAATAAGTAAAACTGCGGCTCGACGTCGTGTAAAAGCTAGGTTAAAAGTTCGTTGTTGATAAACAGTTTTTGTTGACACCTTGTGTATAATTGACGTCATTGACGTTTTATTAATTATGTACGGTTATGTATATTATATGTTTTTATTAATATTTGTGGAATCATAAAAAATTACAATTATATTATTGATATTTTCTACGGCTGTTAATAGTATAATCTCACAACTTTAAAGGAAATATAAACGTATGATTAATAAGCGACACATCATTTTTAGCTTCTATTTACTTAGTTGAACTTTTAGATAACTTGGCTGCAGGTGTTTTAAAAAGAAGTGAGCGTACTAGTCGCTTCATTAATTTTATACAATTCAGTTATGAAAAATGGCCGTGGTAGGCAGTGCATTCGGATTTGAAGACTATAAGTATGTGAATAAAAATCTTCAGAATTTTGTTGAACAAATGCTGAAAGGTCGACTATTTATGGGTATCTACACTGAACAAAGATATGTACTACCCCTAAATTCTTATCGTCATGTTGTTAGTATTCCATCAACAGAGAAAGAACTTATTGAAGATTTAAGTGTAGTTTTAAGAAAACTTCAGAAAAGTTGCCCTTCAGATACTTGGATAGGTATAACTACCTCTGAAGTAGTTGGTGCCCCATCACACCATTGTGTTTGGGTTGAACTTCCACAAAATGTTTTTGGATCTTATTGGTTTAAAATTCGAGGAGTTAATTTTACTAAAAATGAGGTTTCTTTAAAATTAAAAACAGTACGTATTATTGAATCAACAATAACAAATCCTCCTAGATCAGAACTAGAAAGCCCTGTGAAGACATCCACTTCAGAAGAGTTGTCTTGGAATTCATTTCATGATAATTTAAATAAGTCGTTAAATACCATAAAAATATCCTTTTTACAGAATTCGGACATTTTTTTCAAGGAAGTTGCAACATTTTCAAATTTTGTAAATATAATGAAATTTTTAGCAGTTCTTCTGATTACTGTGGCAACTTGCTCAGTAAATTTATCGAAATTCTTATGTGATTTTCTGTTGAAACTTATTCATGAACTTTCCCATTTTTTGCAAGTGTCAACACCTATTTTAATAACAATTATCAATACTTTAGGTAAAATAGTAGGGGGCTTTTATTTGTTAATTGCTATGATGTGGAGGGATTTTTGGGGCACACCACCACCTCCAAGAACAAATCAATACTTGTACAGAAAACCTCTTGCATTATCTTACAGATAATAAGACTTAGTATGTATATAAGGTATTAGTTACAGGGGTAAAAGGTCAAGTACTGTATTAATATTAAAAAAATGTAAATTGCTTTAATATTAATGTGATTTTTGTTGTGGCAACTATTTTTTAATGTGATTTTTTTAAATGAAAATCTTAGTAAACCATAATTAAATTATTTAAATTTGATATTATTTATGTTATGAGTGTTACTACAAGGATTAATTGAGAGTCTAGATTGTACTAACCAAGACAAATAAAAATATTGATAAAAATCTTATCAACACTTCAATTTTGTCTTTTACCTACTTATAATAAAAATAATCAACATTACTTAAAAATATAAACTAAAATATGAACTACTAAACATTTATTAATCTTTTTTTGATTACATTACATTTACTCAATCATATTCAGATTTGTAAATTTATAAACTAAGCAACCTGTATTAATATTTTTCCCAAACAAAAAAAAAACAAAATAATTGGAATGATTAGAGTTTAGCCAAACCGATAACCCCACAAGCTAATCTAGCTCCGGCATTACCTGTTGTTTTACTTAATTCATGCCCACCTACTCCTAAGTCGTCAGGGTCGGCATGAACAACCAAAGTACGACCAATAATATTATGTTCGCCAGAAAGTGATATTAATTTGTCAGTTATATTTACTTTTGCGCTACCCATGTCGCCGGCTTCTACGTTTCCAAGATCGCCAACGTGTCTCACGTCTGCATCAGGAGCTCCATGATCTTTGTTATGCGGATTGAAATGAGCACCGGCTGAAATACAGCCGTTGGTGTTGTCACCAAATTCGTGCACATGAAATCCGTGGAGTCCTTTCGTCAACCCGGTAATTTCACCGGTCACCTTTACGGGTGCTTTGGAGTCCTAAGTAAGTTTACACAATACGATAAAAATAAACTTAAACAAAATACTATAAAGTTTACCGCTTGTTCGAAGAAGACTGTCCCTTTGACAACTTCGCCATTTAGAACGCAAACCGCTTTCGCTACCATTTTTCCTTAGGATAATGAGGATTTAGTAATGGAAATAAAAACCTAAGCTTATATTTACTCTTGAAGATGACCAAGCAGTTTGCTTATTAAACTGAATCAAATTTTTAATTATTCTAGAAAAATAAAAACAGTAGTAGGGATTTATGCACACTGCACGACAGTAAATAATGGTAAATAATCACCTTGGCCCTTGGCCCAGTACTTATTATTATTCTATTATCACTCATAGAGACATGAGTTAACATATTAGAAATTAAGATGGTACATGTATCTTATATAATTATTTCATATGCTCTATTCCCAAAAATATTATTGCGTAATTTTCAAAAAATTCATCAAATAGAACTGTTTAATAAAATTCGTCC